CCTACACAGGCTTTCTGTCATGATTGCTGCACCATCTTTCCCACCCTGCCAACCTAGAAGAGGCTAGAAGGGTCGGCACATACTTGCCTCTGTTTATGCCTCTTCTCAGTCACCCTTGACACAATTGTGAATACGTCAAGACGGTGACACACAGCACAATGACAGACGTGAGCACGAGGTAGTAGTCTCTGGTTCGTGCAACCGGGGCCCAAGATGTCTTAAAATTTCGTCTGTAAGATTTACCAGAGGGATAGAGCTCAGACTTGAAAGACAGAAGATACAGGAACGGAAAATAAATTCAAGTTGTACATTACAGTACCTGTTCCTTGAATATGCAAGATATAGTACGGCTTTTTTGATGGCGAAAGAATCTGCATCTGTGTGAACAGTAAATCTAAATGAGGTCTAGGCATATGCTTTCTTTTGTATTCATTTGCACTTTAGGACTTACTTTTCATTGCATCTTTCATCTCCTCTGTGCACAGATGTTTTCTCTTGCTCTGAGGTTTTCCTGCTGCAACCAAAGTTCTTATGACGACTACAACACTTAGTGAATTACCTTATTCTAAGTTGTTTTTTCCTTTCTAATATTTTCCTTCACCAAAGCATCTTCTATGTGGTCTGCGTTTCCCACATGAGACACAGTAAACAACGTTGTAACTTTTCCTTAATAAGATACTTGCACAAGTCAAGCAAAGCTGCCTTCAGACCTTCCATATGAACATCACATTGATGTTAACAGAATTTTTCCAACCACAAAGGATACATTCTTGTTTAGTACAGTAATAAATCGTATTTTGTTTCCAAATGGCTTATGGAAAAGAAACTGAATGCAATCAAATATAAGAGAAATAAAGACTCATTTGTATAAATCAGGCTAATTCACTTGTAATAAATTCATCTCAAGGGGCAGGATTGAATTGAAAAGCTACTTTCGTCATAGAAATTCTCTTTCGCAAGAAGCCAGCAAAGTCATTTCCAGCAACATCAGTGCTGAGCTGAGTTTGTGTAACCAGGGTATTAATCATACTCAAGGACATTGACATGAAATGAATGAACGATATTGTTTTCTTTAAAACTGTTAGTTTGAGGAAAGTATAATTACCAAATTATTTAAAAATGGATTCTCTGTTAAACCTAAGACTGGGAACTCACAAAGGATATTTCCAGATCAGACTTCGATGACTAACAGTTTACAGGGAATGGGTGATATCACCATTGCATACATGTGCTCAGTTCAAATCTAATGAAAGCAGTTCCATGTGGGTAAAGGCAGAGGTGTACTACTCAGCAGGGAATGTTGGACAGATGGATATGATTAAAAGGATGTGTCACAGGACTCAGAGATACATAACCCATTGTGGTCCTTTCCCTCCTGAGGATTTGCACTCATCCTAGCTCCCACTGCAGTGAATATTTAGTTTTCATTAAAATATTTGCATTTAAAAATGGTCATATTTCTCTCATTTTTTTTTTTCTGCTGGGAAACTCTAGTGCCTCTGTACTTTGGGGAAAGATTTGAATGCTGGATTAGGGAGTAGTAGCTGCTATAAGCTTTTTTTTTTTTTTAATACCTCCAAAAGCTACTTAGAGTCATGTCAAAGACAAGCTGGGTTGTGAGGCCCTGAGACTGCCTTGTAGCTGCTGTACAGGTACTCCTGGTTCTCAGAATCCACACTCAAAAACCACTCTGCCCAGGAACTGTCATAATCACTTGTTTTTTGAGAGCTTAGTGATTCTCTGCTTGAAATGAGTGTGAGTACAGGGAAAAAGCCTGCTGCTTTTGTTGTGCTGAATCTACTGAAACAATTAGAATAGGATTGGCTTACATAGCTGTGGAGAGACGGCTGGTGTGCCCATTCGAGGACAAGTTCTCCAGATACCAGGGTTGAGGCTCAAATAGCACAGCTGGGCGTAAGAAAGGAAAGTCCAAAGTACTGGTAGCAACTCGTGTTTCCATGATTATGTGATTACTTTGTGCCTTTTGGCATTGAGTCAACTCCTTTCCTTACTGATGAAAGGTAAAATGCATTGAACACATACTGGATTAGCCCTGATATCCCACTGCTTCATGATTTGTGACAACATACTGCATGGGCTCTGCCATGGGGCAAAGCAAACTGAGAGAAGATATCCCATCAGCAAACAGAGTCCCAGTGAACCATAAACAAGGTCAGACAGAACAAACTTACTGTCTATCACATGGCTCAGGGGCTGCCAAGAGAAGACTGGCACCCAGATCTTCTGGGGCACATCGAGGCTGCCCTTCAGAGACTCATCCCAGTGGGTCCATCTTCCCTTGTAGATGTACTCAGCTGAGATACACTCTCTTAAGGTAAGTCCTTTTCCTCAGAGCATCTTGTAAGAATGTCAGGTCAGGGCTAACAAACCCACAGCAGGTCATTTATCTTGGATGGTTATGATAGGGGGTCACACACACCACTGTAAGCTGTATTGTCCCCTTCTGCTGACTGTTGCTGCAGGAAGTCAAGTGGACAATACTCCACAGGATATAAAGAAGCTTTAGTTCTCATTCAGGGCTTAGTTTGGATCCAGCTGTCCCGTAGACTGAGAAAATGTATGTGTGGGATTAACCTATCCTAATCAGATGTGGTTTTGTTGTACTGGAAGATTGAAGGGTGTTAATAAAATCACCTACAGATGAATGAGAGACACCATAAAATACATGTGTTTACCACATACAAAATGAATGCACAGTATGCAAATGAAATTTTTAGCTTATATCTGTCAGAATCCTTCTTTTCCCTCTCTACCATTAATACAACTAGATAGCTTGAAGAGGAACATGCCCTATCACACACTAAGACAAAAGCAACACAGACAAATGATGAAAGGGAATCCAACACAATTTTCCTGGAATTAGGACAGAATGCCCTCTATTTCCACAAAAACTTTGCAGAATTTTCCAGTTCTTAAAGAACATTTTTAGGACTATGCTGAGAGTAGCATCAGCCAGGTATATTTAGTCCCCTGCTTTATGGATCTCCATACTGTGAACTATAGGCATTTTTGTGCCTTCCATGTAGGTATGGCACAAGACTAAGTTTTTGTTCCTCAACTGGAGGACAATCGTGGTGATGCTCCACATCCTGGTAGACACCTCCCAAGGCCATCCAGGACTCAAAGGTGACTTGTTTGATACTTTTGCTGGGAGCAGTCACTCCTCACACTCCGGCGTGAAAACTCCCAGTGCAGCTCTCCTCCTGCAGTTCCATGCCTCTACTCTCAAAAGCAAAGTCCTGGGAGATGGATAGGGCAGGAGGTTGCTCCATGTGTTATTTCCTGAATCCTCTGCTCTGTACTAGCAACCATGATATTTTTACTAACCTCTTCCCCTTTAGCAATAAGCTAAGAACCTGTTTTTCTGCCACCCCACTCTGATAGAAATCTCACCATCCTACCTTCTGTTCAGTACTGGTGCAGTCATTTATCAGGTTGGGATCTCACTGGAGCTGCTCCCAGCTCTTGTTGAGCTCATATAGACACCTCAGAGCAGGCTGCCTCACACCACAGCAAGGTATCATTGATCTCAACTTCTTAAAAGCCGCTGCTTCTCACAGAGGCATGGTATCTCCCAGTCCACTGAGTGATGGTATCTTGCCCCAGCAGAAGCAATAGCTCAGGGCTTCCACTGAGTTCTTGCTGCTTGGAGCAAAGGGACTCAGACAAGGCAGCAGTCTCCAAGCCTCCCTGAGTTGGAAGCATAGCTACCCCATACATCACACCCATGCTACAAGCACTGATGAGTGTCACTAAAGCACCTTTGTACAGGGTGGACCAAGTTTGGGAGAATAGGTCAGAAGACCAGAGAGATGTCGAGGTAGGGAGCTTGGTTGTTGACCTGGGGCTTGCATCACCCTCGCAGTGCTCAGAGCACATTGCCAGGACCACTGTAGAAACAAGCAATGTACATTCAGGAGCATCATCTTCTCAGCGACAGGGACTAAGCTACATTTGCAAAAAAAAATATCCAGAGTCAATGTACAATGGCACAAGTCAAAGCAGCGCAGTAGCAGAGCAGCTGTCAAAGCAGGAGTCAGTGTCTCCTCCAGGCAGCAGCTGCGTGATAAACGGTTCGCTGTAGTCTTCAGCAAGGCTGAGCATTAGGCCCTAGTGCTTCACTGCAGGAAGAGTGGGTGACCTGATTGATTTTAAAAGTTTTATAACAGCATAGGAAGAAACTAGAGACATTAAGAGTCAGTCCTTAAGTGATGGATTTAAATGACAGTGCTTATTTTATTCATCAGCCATAGCAATAATTTATGGATGACATTGTAGCAGGACAATTCTTTGACAGTTTGTGCCGAATGTCACTGCCTTCAAAGTTTTTTGCTGACCCTGTGGACAGCAAAAAGACACTTAGAGTGAGTGCAACAGCAGAATAATTCTATTGTCTCAGGGATTTTCTCTTTTTCGTCAATGTGTTTATTAATACGTCCTAGGCAAAGAGTTGGAGCATGTGAGAAAAAATGGGTTGATTGAGGGTAAACAACAGTGACCTAGGAAGCAAAGAGCTATGTAATGAAGAAAGGACTACATAGGGACTGGCTCAGGTGAACACTGATCATCAGCAAGTCCCAAATAAGACATACTAGAGTTTCAGGGAACTTGTCACCTGTTGGGATAAAGTTTTTGGTGAGTAAGCCAGAACTGAAAGCGGTCTGGACAAAATCACTTAGCAGAGAGAATACACTTGTAAAAACAACAGCAGACTTTACAAAAAACAGTCTTCCAAGGAAAATTTGGAAAATGTGTTAATACTTGAATTATTACCTGGGGAAAACATTACATTTTAAAACCGTCAATTGCTTGGGGGCTTGTTACAAGTTTTTGCTTATTAGTTTGATAAGGAAATTCATCATTTACTTCTGAATGTTGCTCAATCAGAAAGTAGTTAGTAGCACTAACTAGGCCCCATGTGTGAATGCTGTAGCCATTATAACTCGTGCTGAAAACCAGCATGCCCAATAACTCAGCAATTACTTCTTAGTAGGATCAACAATTTTCCCCATGAAAAGCGTGGTGCCAGTTGCTTTGTCAGAAATCAATATAATGAAGGGCCTGTTGAATTTGATGGTATCAGAAGGGCGGAGAACCCTGGTAAGGATTATGGCTGTGGCTCCTGCAGCCTCAGTTCCAGCCTCATCAACCTCCAGCAGGGCCTTGTGAATTGCCTGCAGCGAAAAGGAGAAAACACTGTGGTTTATGCATGGTACAGCAAACAGGGAGTGAAGATACACACTCTTCTTATGAAATGTTGAGGAGAAGAAAGGAGTGATAAAACCCAGTGGACCAAGCTTTCCTATATGATAAATCTCCAACAGCCTGCAACAGGAGCATTTTCCATGTCAAGACTAACGAGGACGGACAAAAATAAAAATGGATACACTGTAGATCCAGCCTCATCAGTGCTGAGTAGAGGGGGATAGTAACAGTCCATGCACTAGCTAGTTTATTTTCTTAGATGGTTTGGACTTCCACTAGCAACACTTCCTCTGTTATTCTAAGGTTAGTGGAAGACTGCTATTTAAATGTTAATATGGGGGGGCAGTATTTGGCATCTTTGCCACATTAAATCCCAATTTAAACTGGCATGATGAAATTCTACTACTGTGACTGAAAGTTTCCTGGAAACTTTGAAAATATTAAAAAATTAAGTACTAATCAACACAAATATCATAATATACTCATTTATAATTTACTTGATACAATCACATGAAAACAATCATATTCCAATGCCAAGAAATCATTTTAAAATCTTGTCCAACTTTTCCATGTACTTAATATCCAGCCTTTTAATAGCAATATTAAAATAATACAAAGGTGGGACAGCAGATTCTCTCTGTAGAAAAACACAATTACTAAGGAATCCCCTACATATCAGTGTGAGTTTTACCTCTAACTTTAGTAGGATGAAGAGGGGAATCAAGTCTTTAAAAACCCCAGATATAACTGATCAGAGCAACCAACCACCACTCCATCACCAGCTCTGTCTGTTCACTTACTTGTGAAACCTGAAGATTACGACTGCCACTAATTCCAGACAGATCAGCATTACTAGAGAATACTTCAGTAACACCCATTTCCTTGAACAGCTTTTTTACATCATAAGACGCACTAATAGAAATCTTTGGTAACTGCAGATCTAACCTCCTGTTGAACAAAGAAAATGAAACAACAGAGAAGCATTACAGCCTTGTTTCAGCTAGCAGGCTGGATCATATGCAATTCAGTGGCACTTGGAAGCATTCTTTTGATTGCTAATTTGCTTGATGGTAGCACTTATATTCCCTGAGCAATTTTGGCATCCAGAGAGATGCACCATCTCCTTGTACCTACACTCTCTCTTTGATTTTGGAAAAAGAAACAAATTTCTTCATTGCCACTCTTTCATCCCCGTGCCACATACACAGCTAGCAGAGTTTTGTGGCTAGAGGGCTACAGCGAGTAAGCAGACCAACTGTGGAAAGGCTAAAAGAAGGGAAAAGGAGGATAAAATCTAAGACACAGTGAAGAAAATGAATTACGTTAGCACCATGAGAGAAGAGGTGTGGTTGCCAAAAGGTAGCCAAGTCTTGAGGCAGTTGTTACAATGCTGTGTCCTCTTTTGTCAGGTCAGAGAGCCTGCAGTCATTTATTGATTGCGCTTTGCTGTGGCTCGTCTTGAGAATCACTTGAAACCTCACTTTACGAAATCAGGATGTAATACCCAGGAGAGGGTGATCTCAAATTAACATTTTCTCATAAAAATAATTATGTGTCCTCAAATATAGTAATCCATCTACCTACGGTTACCTGGTCACAAGTTTGTTATCCCATTTACAAACAGTTTCCTTGGAGAGAGCCTCTTCCACTTGCTTCATCTTTCCATCATCAGGTAGAATGAGCAATGCTCTTGCAGTGCCCTGGTAAGGCAGCTCTATCACCTCACAGGAGAGATCCTTGTCGTAGTAACTGCCATAGTTACTGTCACGCTGCATCATGTTGACTCTAACAGATGCATTTTTGTTAACAAAAAAATCATCCTCATACGTACGCAAAGGATCAAAAGACTTTTCCCAGGCAGCTAATGGTGAAAAAGAGAAGATGTTGCACTCAAACATGTGAAGATCATAAAAAATGGCTGACATAAATCAGACCAACTTGAATGTTAGGATGCTGCAGCGCTATTTATGGATAAGAGGATCACTAAACCACTTCAACCTCCTGCATAACACACAGTAAAGCATTTTAGCTGTGCAATAAGTTCAGCATAGTTAGTGTGAGTAAGTCCTATCATGCTTATAAACAACCAAAGGTTGATGAGGACCAATTGAGAGAGTCCTGCTTCTATTGTAGCTGTATGTTCCCATCACCGGTGCCTTTTATGTCATTTGAATTCAACCACTTCAACATTCAGTCGCGGGATCTTGTTACGCCTTTCCTGTTAGGCCATACCCAATGCAAGCTGACTGCACTCAGCATGGTGCGGAATTCATCAGCAAATAAAGGATCCCAATATTCAAGCAGGGCTCCGGAAGCACAGGTCTCAAAATGCTGTCCCAAGTTTTCATGTGGCATACCTAGTAGATCTATCATAATAGTAGGGATCCTGGTAGCGCAAAGGTATCCGTCTACTGTTTGACTGGCACATACAGTCAGTATAGAGATCTTGGAAACATCTTTAGTCATTATGCCCTCAGACCAGCGAGACTGTGTGAAGTGGATCCCTGTCTATGAGGCAGTCCCTAGAGTGGGACTTCTCTGTCTACAGCTTTCAGGCAAACTGGGCAAAATCAAGCAAACAGTCAGATACCCTGCTTTTGGCCAAATCTAATCTTTACTTTGAAGGTCCTCCACAGTTTAGCTCTTTCCTAAATAGTCATTCTGCTAATAAATCATCAAGAGTTCCCTAAAGTTTTTGATTTGCATCAAAATAATCTATTGGAATATTATGTTAAATATCTTACCTTTAAAATAAATGTAGTTAACTAGAACCAATACAGTACTTGGATCAAGATGACCAATTAATTCAGGAATTTTCCCCTTGGTTTTCTTCTCTACATATTTATTGATTTGCTTCTCAGCTTCTTTTGGTTTATGGAAATCGCTAGAAAAAAATTCTGCATCATAAAATTGTTTGGTATTTTGTAAAAATGTCTCCTGTGGTTCATACCCAATAGCTGTAAAAAGGACATTCCCTATATTTAATGTGATGTTAACATCAGTACAGTTCAGTACTCCTAAAACTTTACGAAAACTTTCATGTATATCATGTATATGAGTCTCAGTCAGACCGTCAAAGCCCAGTCCTTCAAAAATCTGAGACAGTGTGGTTGACTTGGCACCAACAGCCAGCATGGCAAAGGCAGTGGAGATGCTCATGGGAGAAAAGAAAACATTTTTATCAGCTTCTTTTGATACAGCCTGCTTGTAAAATCTAAATACAAAATCTGCATAGTTAGAGCCTTGCTTGTCACAGTGATGTGTTAATAAATTTTCTGTTCCATCGTGCAATTTGGTATTACTGACTTCATGGCAAACACCTTCATGGTGGGAATGGGTTACGGCATAAAGAAGAGCAAGGTGTAAACACAGGCACAGGAGATACTTCATCTTCTTTTCAAATTATTCTGTCACAAAATAAACAGTCATTAGATGAGCAGATGGTAATGATGAACTTCGTAGTAAGAAATAACGAAGAGTTTGTTAGCATAAATATTATATAGTGCAACTGTAAAGATCTAACGTACATAGGATATTTAAAGTGTCCGTGGACATAATGTCACATGTCATTAATAAATTCCACCAAATTATAAATTAAAATGTGAGACATAATAAAACCATAATGTTCCATTGTAACTGCCCTGAAAAGGCAATTGTCTTCCTCATTGGCAATGAAATTATAGAGCCAAAATCCATAATAATCTCTATTAACAATGACATTATCTTCCCTGGATCATTGTCTCCTATAGGGTACATCTAAACAAACAAGTTACCATGAGGCAAGACAGGGTGTAGGTTTCAAAGACATCAAATACTCCACAGCACCTACCAAAATGCAGTTTGGTAGATGTGAGGAAATGTTAGGTAGGTCACCTCTCACTGCCAGTGGGATAAATTCCCTCACTTTCAGCAGGGCAGCAGCACACAGCCAGACAGCTATCATGGACGACTTTGTGGTTGTTAAATTCACACCCCTGTTTACTTCATGGTTACTTAACGCACATGGCCAGTCATTGGCCACAGCTGACAAGTGATGGATGAAAGTCATCTACATAAACTTCAAGGCAAAATTCAAGCATGCCTGGAGCAACCTGTTCTATGGTAGCAAGGCACTTAGGAGTGGACATAAAGACATGTGGGAAGCAGGAGGTTTTGTACTGGATAATGAGGTGCATGTTTGGAATGAAGGGACTCTACTTTCAGGGGCTGCAACAAGTGTTTGTAACTTGCTAAATGGTGGTTCACCCATCATCATATGGGTTAACCTGCGTGGAATGTGTGGCTCCCTCTAGAGACACAGGAAGGATCTGGGTGCAAGAGGAAAAGAGGAGCACAGATCCCATTTGGAAATCAAAGGACACTCAAATTAATCGCCTTGGAGATTACAAGTTTCTTCATTATGGTTGTTCTCCTAATGCTGACATGATATAATTCACATGAGCTTCCTG